TGGAGTTTCCAAGGATGCTGTAAGCCCCAGCCTGTGTTGGTACTCGTGATTCAGTGTACACAGCCCGGCCCTGGGCTCATCTCTGATAACTAGCTCAGAAGAAGCCCCCTGCACCTCAGCTCTTAAATTCACGAGGAACCTGATTCCCCTGGTGACTATGTGGCTCCTCTTTTGCCCCGACGCAGCAGCGGTGCCTTGGAGAAGATGATGTCCCCGGGGCTCGTTCGGGTCGGGGTGCTGCCAGCCCCAGAGAGCGGGAGCTGTGGGGCTGGGGACCGGGCCGTGCATCGCCCAGCCCTCTCAGCCCGCTCTCTCCCCCTCCCCGCAGGGCTCTGCCGTCCCTCGCAGCACCAGCTAAAATGAACAAGATGAAAAATTTCAAGCGGAGGTTTTCACTCTCGGTTCCTCGGACAGAGACCATCGAGGAGTCGCTGACGGAGTTTACGGAGCAGTTCAACCAGCTCAACAACCGGAGGAATGAAGGTAAGGAGCCCCCGGGCCCCTGCCACGGTGCTGGGGCTGGTCAGGAGCATCTGGGGTCAGCACTGCCAGCAAGCATGTCCACTCCAGCCCCCCTGGCCTCTCTGGGTGTGTTGATGTGTGGAAAATTACTGCCCCTTTGTCAGTGTTGCTTTCCCCATCTATCCAAGCAGGATTAATAACACCTTGCCATTAATGGCAGATTTAAATCTGATCTGAAAAGAGATTTATACTTGCATAAGGAAAGCCTTATAGGAGGGAACGGTATTTGCACAAACCGGAGAGGAATGGCACATCTGTGGTTAAGGTAGAGAGTGTGAAAGCGTGGGATCTCCTCCTGCCTGCCCCAGAGTGCCAGTGCGCTTTGGGCCCTCTCTCCCGGGCTACAGGCAACACCTCCACCAAGCCAAAGGCGCTGCTCTCTGTTCAGGGGAGCACCTGGGGCTCGCTGAACCGTCCTTGGCTCCGGGACCCCCAGCCTTCTCCTGGCATGCAGTTTTCAAGGTCCCAGGGAGCAGGGAGGTTTAGGGTTAACACTTCCATGAGCAGAATGGGGCACATCCCTTCTGAAAACAGAGCAGCCGCCTCGCTGCAGGCTGGGGCAGGCTCTGCTGTCTCGGGCTATGGCCATATCAAGGGAGAGGCAATGCCTGAGGCAGAAACCGGGAGCAGATCGCATCGAGGCGGCTGTGCATGGACAAGCAGGCAGAGCCGCTGACAGGCAGGCGTTTGGAAGCCTGATAAAGTTAGACTTGATTCATCCAAGGGTGAATTCGCTGCTGCGGGTGCAAGGCTGAAACGCTCCTGGGCATCGAGGCGGCTGTGCATGGACAAGCAGGCAGAGCCGCTGACAGGCAGGCGTTTGGAAGCCTGATAAAGTTAGACTTGATTCATCCAAGGGTGAATTCGCTGCTGCGGGTGCAAGGCTGCACCGCTCCTGGCGATCACGTCACGCGTTTGCTGCTGCCTCCTACCAAAACAACTCGCTTTGCCGCAGGCCAGCCCGTTCATGTGTCAGTGCCCTCAGCTCCACTCGGGTCATGTTCAGGCTTTTTTCCCCTCACCCTGCAGCCACAATTGCTAGAAACTTTTGCTGCAAGCAGGGGCTGAGGCCGTGATGTAATTGCCTGGCACTCGCTTCTGCCCCAGCAGGGAGGGATCGTCTCTCTGCCAGCTAACCTGCTTGAAAGAAGAGATGCAGTAACCTAATTTAGAGCTGGCTTTCCTCACTCCTGCAGCTCCTGACGCTGCTTTTATCCCTCCAGACACCCAGGCTGCCCTGAACAGCATCCCTTCACAGCCTCCTTCCCTGCTCCCCCCTGCCCACACCTCCCCTCAAACCCTAGCAAGCAGCGAGGGCTATAATTAGACTTGAGCCCTTAATTAGATGTGCAGGAGCTGTGGGGATAAAATGGTGCAAGACTAAGAAAGTCCTGGGCGCTGACAGCTGCTGCTGCTGTTGCCTTCCTTGGGGGACCTCTGCTCTGGGATGTCTGAGCCTGGGCTCGTTATCTCCGCCGAGCAAACCGAGGCTTTCTCGGAGAGGCGATTTCCCCGTTCTTCTGCTTTAATGAAGCTTCGGTCACGGTTCTTCCTTTGCCCTTGAATGGCAAACCAGTGCATGCAGCATCTGCCTGTCCCCCCCTGCTTTTGGTCTCACTCCGGAGGTAGCCAGGAAAGAATAAGAGCAAAATCAGAGCAGACTGAGCCTGGGGCCAGGACCGAGGGTGTTCCTGACCAGACCAGAGGCTGGACCAGTACTAGACTGTGACATGGTATGATTAGGAGATCCTCCCGCCTGGACCTGGGATGCATCAGGGGCTCGGGGTCTGCCAGCACCACCCCGTGGGGTACGGCTCCTCATGTGCTGCTGCGGGATGCCCCGGTGCCGGCCCCCACGGTCCGTACGTCCCTCCCTGCCTGGATGCGGCACGTCCTGGCCCTCTGCCACAGCTTTCCCTCCCTGGTGCCCCCTGCTCCCTGCTGCACGGTTCCCAGTTTGCACCCCAGCCCTCTCCCACGCAGGACAGGCAAAACCCCGCCGTACCCACCACCCCGAGCCTGCTCCCTCCTGCCCAAGATCTCTTGATTAAGTTTCCCTCGGGGATTGTAAACAACCCCGAGAAGTCACCTCCACAGTGCCCTTAATCTCCGTCTCCTGCAGGCTGCGGCTGTTGTTTATGAAGAGCCCTGACAACCACATTTGTCTGAGGCATCTCTTTGGCCGTTTAATAAAGCCCTCGTGGCTGGGAGCTCTTTGCCCGCAGCCCTGTGCCAAGAGGACTTGGCCGGGGCTCGGCAGGGGAAGGTGGAGGCACCGGTGCCGGGGGGCAGAGCAGGGGGGCAGGAGCCCCAGCACCCCGGGGTGAGGAGGCATTAGGGCATGGCGTGGGAGGGTGAGCTTCAGGTGTGTAGGGGGACGGGATCGTTTTGGTGGTGCTAGAGGGGATGAGAAGGGTGTTTATGTGCGAGTTGCTCTTTTGCGGGGTTTGGTGGTGAGGTTTGGACCCCGTGGGAGCTGCCTGGTCTGGAGAGGGCTCTGACTTTAGGGAGGCAGCAGTTCTCTCTGAGATGTTGGTCTGCTCCGTTTCACAGATGGAGAAAGCAAGGTGCAAAGAGGCAAAATGACTTTGCTACAGTTGTGCAGAAAGCTGGTAGCAGAGCTGAGACTAGAGCCATGGCAGTCACTCTTGTGCTTGTGCTTGTGAGCGCTTCTCGCCTGGTGAGCAGATGGCCCAGGACAGTTCAGGCACTGTGATCGCTCGCTCCAGAAAAGAGTGCTAATCACAGCAGAGATCAGCATGTCATTTTTTCTTTCATCACCTCGCACAGCTCCTCAGGGAATTGCTTGCAGGTTTTATTTTCCCTCCAGCATCAGAAATCACAGGTTATCAGCATTCACAGGTCATGGCAGTCTGCAAACGCTTCACTTCGGTGGCTGTGAGTGCCTCCCCCTGTCCTTGGGGAGGAGGGCGATGCAGAGGCCAGAAGACCTTTCCATTAGATGCTCCAAAAGCACGTGCAGAGCTGCTCTGACTCTGGCAACAGGACAAGGCAAGGCCCTCTCGTGGGTAGAAACCTGCCTCGTCTGTTGGTGGTGCGGTGGGAAATCCCCAGCTCCGTCCTCTTCATCCCGTAATTCTCATGACTTCACCCGCAGAGGCTGATAAAACGAGGCCTGAGAAAAGCCGAGCTGGCAAATGGAAAAGCAAACAGCTTTCCAGCCTGGACACATCCCGTCACCAGTAATGTCACCTTGATGGAGTCTGACGATGTGGAGAGGGACAGGGGGTGCCTGCGGTCAGAGCCCAGTTCACTCACAGCCTGAACTGGGGCGTCCAGCACGCCTCCGCCCTGCCGCGCATCCCTGCCCTGGGCAGCACGGCCTTTCCTCGGCCGTGGCAGCTGCTCAGCTGCAGAGGCAGAGGTGGCAGAAAGCCCCCGGGGTAAGGAGAGCCCTGGCTGGTCTCTGGGCAATATCTGGTATCCTTGACAAAGGCCAGCACCATCTCCACATCCTCAGAGATGGCTGCTCCACCCTCACGTTAAGGCTGAAGGCAAGAAGGCTCCTTTCTTTCTTCCTGGGCTTTCCCAGTCACGCGTTTCTCTCCATACTCCAGATTTTCAGAGGTATCGGGTCTTGGTGTCTACCATTTTCTTTGATAAGAGTTGGTGGCATTCAGCGACAGCTCCTATCTATGCCAACAGCTACTGCCTGCTCTGTCCTCCGAGGCCAAATAAGGTCTCAGTATTCAGGCTGCAAAGCCTGCGTAACTCCCAGTTTGCAATGGCATAAATCAGAGCCAGATCTGGCCTTTGGAGTGAAAGGCCACAAAGAAGTAATGGTGAGGGGGAGGAAGGAGGATGAATAATCCAAGACCTGAGTGCAGCCCTGCCTCATGAGTGTAGCAGAGCTTTGAGAAGAGAGTTCACACTTAGCAAAGTAATTAAAAGTTGTAAGTCAGGCAAGCAGTGAAGGGTTCTGGCCCCTTTCCTTGGGAGATCAAAGCTTGTTTTGGCAGAGGCAGTGTTTAAATATATTTATAAAAAAAGGTGGGAGGCTCGTCAAAGGCAGCCACCATGTCTGCGGTCTCACTTTAATTTGCTTTGATATCCCATGCAGCCTTATTATTTGCAGAGTGTCAGGGCTCACTGTCATCCAGATGAAATGCCGAGCAGAATCAAACAGGCCCTCACGTTTGCACGCCCACAGCTTCGTGTCTCCTCCCGCAAGCACCCGGCAAAGTCCTCCAAGCCCGGGGGCAACCCCAGCCCTGCGAGAGCAGCTCTGCTCTGGGACCGAGTATCCCTGGGTGCTGCGGGCACCTCGCGGTGACGCAGGATGGACTGGGCTGGCCCACCCCACCTGCACTCCCTGGCCCCAGGGCAGCCAAAACACCTTTCCCCTCATTTCTGCAAGTCTTCTGTGTATTTCTATGTGCTTTTCCCATCATGTGGTAGTTTGCATCCTTTGCGTACCCCATTCCCCTTTGCGTGCGCTAGGATGCCCAGGTTGTCATCGTACCGCTGGCTTTACATCTGGTGCCCTTGTAGATGACGAGAGATTGATGCTAACCTGGTGGGCTGCCGGGTCAGAGAGACAGTGCTGCTGGTTTGCACCTTTCAGGGACAGGCTGCATCTTTTGCCAAGTCTTTGGGCTTGTTTACCTATGGGAACCAGCACAAATTCACCCGAACTGTCGTTTAAAGTGGATTAGTTGAACTCCGTTCAGTCAGATTTTAAATGGTTTCTTTTTTTTTTTCAGATAATTTGCTTAGGAAGTGAGCAAGTTAAAAAGATTTGATTCAGTTTAATTGATCTACATTAATTTTATACCTGTGGTTAATTCAGGGTAAGTTTCCTAACTGTTCCTGCAGACAGATGGCCAGAAAGGGACAGGGACCAGCGTCCCGCAGCGGTCCTGGGAGAAGGGGTGGCTCTGAGCCTCCTCCTTGCCTGTCTGCCCAAAAACTCCTGGCACTGTTTCAGATGCTCCCGGGCCCAGTGGCATGGGCTGAACCTGTCCCTTAGGTGTGGGCTGTCTGTCGAGGACACCCTGCATCCCTTAGCTCGCAGGTCCCCTGGTACCCCGGTGACCATGGCACGAAACCGCATCTTTTCCCAGGTCACTTGCCTGCCACCTCTCATCCATCAGATGAGCAGACTGCAGCCAGGTCCCAGCCCTGCTCACCACCCCGTGAAAGCCAGCCCTCCCTCTCCAGTCTTCAGCAATGAGATCATCGCTGGCTGCCTGCGCACACTGGGATCTGTGCGCCGAAATCTGCATTAGACATAGCAGGGGATTGTCGCTGTGCAGCTCAGGGAAGGGGCTTGACGAGGGGCAGGGCTCAGTGGCTGAGCTGGGGACATCCCAGGTCCTCCCTGGGGAGTTTCCCTCCTGCAACGTTCCTCCTTGCTCTGGGGAAATAGCTGCAGGGTGCCTGGATGCGTGAAGGACACCGGTGCTTTATGGCAGGGCCCTTGGACCCTGGAGGCCTTGCTAACTTGGAGCGTAGCTGCAAAGTTTAGACGAGAAGGGAGAGAGCTGTATGGCCACCGGGAAGGGGACAAAACGGTTGTCCCTGCTTGGCCCCACGCTTTTTCAGAGGGAGATGCATCCCTCCCTTGGGGAGGTGGTTCTCCTCCATCCCCGCATACCCAGTTAGCACTGCCTCCTCCCTCCCAGCGCATCCAGTTAGCGCTGCCTCCTTCTGCACAGCCCATTGGAAACAGCATCCGCGCGAATCGGGGGAATCCGCTTCCCTGGGGTCCCGGCAACCTGCACTGAACTCGTCAGTGTTTCGCTGTGCCGCTGTCTGGGTCTGTGTGTGCCAGGGTGTTCCTACCAACCAGCCGTTAATTACAGAGTGAGGAGGTTTAAGTGCAAGCCTCAAACTGGAGACCAGAGGGAGCTCAATGGCTCATTTTGTTCTGATTTCTTGCTCCTTTCAGGGTTTCTTGGGCTCAGTGAGGCTTCACACCTGGAGTCCCGAGAGAAGAGTTATTTTTCTGAGCTGCTTTGGTTTTCAAGAGAGCTTTTGTGCTTCTCGGGACTGTGTCTCTGGCTAAGTGCAGCAGGTTGGGGCAGGAAAGCCTGGAGTGTTTTGTTTTGCAATAAGTGACTCTGCAGCCTTTAATCCCAAACACCTTCTGAGAAACGGTCACATCCTTGGAGGAAAGTACCCTGATGCCTGTTGGTTTTGGTGCTCCTGCGGCAGATTAGGTACGTGTGCTTGTGAGCTCCCCAGAAGCAGGGCTCTCTTTCTGTTTTGCTTTTGTACAGACCTAGCACAACAGGATCCAGAGCCATGGCCAGACATCTAGGTGTTACTAAAGTGCAAATCGTGTTTTGTCTAATGTGACGTTAATGAAGATAAGGCTGGGAAGTTAAGATAAATACTTACCCATGCAAAACCCGGTGGTGCTGCTACAGAGGGGTGAGCTGCTTGGCAAAGCTGCCTGGCGGGTTGAGCACTGGACGGGGATGTGGGAGATGTGGGTGGCCTTGGGTGTGAAGCAGTTCCCCTCTCTGCATCCCCCTGCCCATCTGTCAAGAGAGACCTTCGCTGCAGGGGCTGCCCGCGGGCGCCTCGGGGGTGCCGCTGAGCAGAGCTGCGTGGGTGGCGATGCACCAGGAGTCTGGAGCAAAAGGCAGGTATGCCCTCTGCCTCCGGGATACAGAGAAGGAAGAAGACTTGCCCGTGACCCCAGAGCATCTCTGGGCTTCCCTGCCCTGCTCTCGCTCTCTTTTCTCCAAAGCAAGTGCCTTAGGCCTTGGCACTTCTGCTATCACTCCAGCAGCTTGCTCTCCTTTCTCCTTGTCCTCAGACCTGGCACAAGGGCACCTGCAGCTGGGGCACCTGGGCAGGGACTTCCGAGCAGACACCAGCCCCATCTCCCCCTCCGAGGTGGAAGGCCAGTCCCCGATGGCCGTGCGCTACCGCAACAACAACCAGCGCCGTTTCTCCATGGAGGCAAGTACTGCTGCAGGCTGGAGCCGGCAGAAGGGATGTGGCAAGTTCTGGTTGTCACCTGCCTGCTGGCTGGAAAAGCCGGTGTTTGGTTCCTGGGGACCTGGCAGTCTCAGCCACGAGCCCTGGTGTCCTCTTGGGTGCTCTCAGCATGACTCCCATGGTACCTGACAGAGCCCAGTGCACGTCCCCATGCGCACGCACGCACGCACGCACGCACACCTTCCCTTTTCCTTTGACGAAGGGTCCCACAGATGCTGCCCCCGGTGCTTCGCCATTAATACCAGCTCTGGTTGGAGAGCACTTCCCCTTGGATGTTTCTGTACAGTCCTCCTTTCATCAGATGCATTCATCACCCGCTCTTCTGGCCCTCTCCGCAGGATGTCAGCAAGCGTCTCTCCCTGCCCGTGGACATCCGCCTGCCCCCCGAGTTCTTGCAGAAGCTGCAGATGGAGAGCCCGGAGTTCCCCAAGCCCCTCAGCAGGATGTCCCGACGGGCTTCCCTCGTAAGTCCCACCGTGCAAAGCGAGCAGTGCTGGGCACAGCATCTCGCTTCATGCACACAAGTCCCAGCCAGCAGATGCATGTGCTGATTGCCACCCACCCGTGCAGTCGTGCCCGGCTGTGCAAGCTCCCTCGTACCCCCCGTGTGTCATGGAGATACGCACGCACACGTCCCTGCCCATAGAAATCCCTTTCTGCACACTCGCAGCAGTACACGTCCCCCCACCATGCACACAGGCATCTCTTCCCCCATGTTGCTCCTACACATGCACATCTGCGTACTGCTGTGCAAATCCCCAGGCCTGCACATTCCCTCACTCACCTCTGCGCATACCTGGCTTTCCTCTTGGCCTGGCTCCTTCCAAACGGGAGGAGGTGGAAAACCTCCTGCGGTTTAGCAAGTGCTGGAGCCTCTGCTAGTTGAAATGCAAATGCCAATAAATAATGAATTAGCTTTTGCATTAGTGTTGGCATTTCAGTTTCTTTACTGCAGAGCATCAGCATATGTAGGAGCAAAAACCCGGTGCCCTGTTTACAAATGTGCAAGCATGTGTCCTGCTGCCCAGGAGTGCTCCGTGCTATGCAGATACAACGGCAAGGTCTCAGCAGGCGTCTTCAGATCTGGCATGCCTATTCAGGGGGAGGGAGGAGAAAAGGAGAGCTTGCATTTACCTGCCTGTTCTGTCTAATCAATAAAATAGACACAGCCAGAGCAATGTGCCATTAATATTCATGGTCCCCTCCATGAATAAGGCATGTTCCTGCAAAACTTGCAGTGTGGCTCTGGGGGTGTACAGCACCTCAGATTGCAGCAGCAGCTTCATTTCCCTGCTCAAGACACATCTGTTCCCGGGGTACGCAGAGGGCTTGGGGAAGCCAAAATGGAGTAAAAAAACCCACTGTGTTCCCCTGGGATTTGCCGGTCCAAATTCTGCTGCGTGAGCAAGAAAGCGGCTTCCCCGCTGCGTGTGGCAGCTTGTGAGAGCTTGGTGGTCTGCCCAGTGCCTGTTGTGAGGAAGAACCTTCCCGTGGGGCAGATCTGGTGAGCAGGGCAGGCTGCAGGAGCACCCCAGACCTGGGGCTGCTGGTTCTCCAGGCTGAGCCCTGGGCACAGTGCAAGGGGCTCCTTCGGTGCCTCCCCCAGGGGACCCTTTCCCTGCACAGCCCGAGTCTTTGCCTGCTGATTGACAGCTGTCCATCCAGCTCCATCTGCTGATGGCGAGCGGCATGGCATGAGCCCTTGGCTCGGGAGAGGGAGCGGTGCTGCTGGGCTGCAGTCAGAGCTGGCTGCTGGCCTGGGACTACGCCGATGCAAACGTATTTTGTGGGAGAATTACACCGGTTTGTTCACCTTAAGGAGCAACGATTTGCCCTGGGCCTTGAGCCCAGTTGTGCTGGGAACCATCCCCTGCCCTGGCACACAGATAATCCAGACTAACCGCGGAGGCGTCTCTGTCCCCACAGAAAACTGCAATTTCAGGGGTCTGCTAGGGCTGACACCTAAATCTGTGGCCTTGCAGTGGTTGCCCTTCTTTCACTGGGTACATGAGAGCAGGTCTCAGCAATACGTTAAAGAGTTACCGTTCCAAATGGGAAAATGTCCCTTTCACGCTTGATTTGAACAGCACACAGAGAAACGAACGGCGTCACAGTAAAGACCGGGACATAGGAAAGCACTCAGGAAAGGCTGGGTGTTGGCAGTAGGCTCCCACGAGGCTTCTCCAACAAAAAGGGCATCAGCTTTTTGCAAATCACCGCTCCTGTTCGACTCGGCCGCTGCTGGTGGCGTTTCCGGGCGGTGGGGGGGAGAAGGGAATTGCAGGGGGAATTGCAGCGGGAAGGGGCAGGCGTGCAGGCTGCGGCCGCCCTGGGGTGCGGGGTGCAGGTGCTGAAGCAGCCGGTGTCGGTTGTGAAGGTTTTCTGATCGATTGCCTGGTCGCCTGCACGGCTTCTCCAGGAAAGTAACGGATTTTATGTGCTTAGATCCGCTGGGCTCCTGCATGCAAACACCTGCCTTGACTGATCTGCCCCCAAAGCTGTTACTGCCCAGTGTCCTTGACCTTCTCCCTGGAGGTGAAGCCATCCCTGGATGAGATCCCTTCCAGTGATGTTTTCCTTTCTCTCTTACAGTCAGATATTGGGTTTGGGAAGCTGGAAACCTATGTTAAACTGGACAAACTGGGAGAGGTGAGTAGACTGTGAAACCCCTGTAAAGGATTTAAATTAAGTTAGAAGGGCAGCTTTAAGTGCAAAAGGCAGACGGTAGCCAAATTTCTTCAATATCTAGCAATTTTTAGACCAAGCTTTTCTGTGGACTTCAGACTTGGCCCTGTAGCTTCAAGTGATCCTTCCTCCAATGTTATGGGGTATATCCATGTTGTGCCACCCTGGCAAATGGTCTGCATGGCGTGTATTTTCTCTCTCCCCACCCAGGGCACGTACGCCACTGTCTTCAAGGGACGCAGCAAGCTGACCGAAAACCTCGTTGCCCTGAAGGAAATCCGCCTGGAGCACGAGGAAGGGGCACCTTGCACAGCCATACGGGAAGGTGAGGGCAGGAGGGGCTTTTCCCCATCACAGCCCTGGTGAGCAGTGCTGGGTCACAGGTGGATTTGGGACGGGCGGTGCCGGTGGACGCGTGTACCTGCAGTCCCAGCAGCGCGCTGCCGTGCGGTGCCCGGATCCTGCTGCCCCAACCTGCCCTCTCCTCTCCTTGCAGTGTCGCTGCTGAAGAACCTGAAGCACGCCAACATCGTGACCCTGCACGACATCATCCACACGGAGCGCTCCCTCACCCTCGTCTTCGAGTACCTGGTGGGTCTGCGGGGGCTCTCTGCGGGAGCGGGGGGACGGCTGCCTTTCTGCGGGCAGGTGATGGGGGCCGAGGGAGGGAGAGGCTGACGTGTGCTTCCCGTTGCAGGACAGCGACCTCAAACAGTACCTCGATAACTGTGGGAACCTGATGAGCGTGCACAATGTGAAGGTAAGACGGTGCTGCCTGCGACCCTGTACCCCTGCCTCTCCTCGCATGCGGGGAGCTCACCCTGCATGCAGTCCGGGGTGATGCAGGGCTGGGTGAGGCTGGATACCCCTTCTCCCTTCAGTTCAGCCTTCTTACTCTTCTTTGACCTTTTTCAGCCTGCTCTGATGTTCCGCCAGCTTTTCTCAAGTCACTGCCACCCTAAATAAAATCGCTGTGCGTGCAGACTTTGCTCAGCCCCTCTTCTGGATTGCTGGTGATGGGCCTGAGCGCTTGCCTGCAGTGCGTCTCACCCCAGGCCAGCTTGCAGGGCTCTTTCCTGGCCGTGACTTTGAGAGCCCTTGAGACAGACTCATTTTTGGTGCCTGTGTCCCAGTGCTAGATGCAAACCCCTTCGTTTCCCCACAGATCTTCATGTTCCAGCTGCTGCGTGGTCTGGCTTACTGTCACGGGAGAAAGATCCTGCACCGAGACCTCAAACCCCAGAACCTGCTTATCAACGAGAGAGGAGAGCTCAAGCTGGCTGACTTTGGTAGGTGGGCCTCTCTGGGGAAGATGCAGCATTGCAAGAAGGTGCAGCTCCTTGATATCCATCCCTTTCGTCCTCAGGACTAGCCAGAGCCAAGTCAGTCCCTACGAAAACGTATTCCAATGAAGTGGTCACACTGTGGTACCGGCCCCCCGACGTCCTGCTGGGATCTACCGAATATTCCACACCCATCGACATGTGGTGAGCCACGGCTCCAAACCGAGCTTCCCGGGTCTCCAAGGCGGTGGGTTGGGCATTTCCATCCTTCTGCCAGTGCAGCACCATACATGCCCACAGTGTTGGTTACACCTGAGGGTGGTGGGCTCTTCCAGAGGCCGTGCTGTTTTCCATGTCCCCTGGGGCTCAGGGTCTTTGGAGCACACTGTCCACATCAGGGGTGAATGGTTACCTGTAGCAGAGAAGGGACACGGCTCCCGAAGCTCATTTCCCTCTGCGGGAACCTCAGCCCTGGCCAAGGGGTGGTGGGGCATCCACAGGGCTTCTCCCTCACTAATCCCAGAGCCTCTGCTGCTGCTCTAGGGGTGTTGGGTGCATCCACTACGAGATGGTCACCGGACGGCCCATGTTCCCCGGCTCCACCGTGAAAGAAGAGCTGCATTTGATCTTCAGGCTGCTGGGTGAGCCTTCTGCCGTCTCCCCGGTCCCCACGCGAGGGCAGTGGCTGACTGCAGGAGCGGTGACGAAGCGCAGCCTGGGAAAGCTGGCGGGAGCCGGCTGGCAAAGCTTTGCGGTGGCGTGGGCAGGCGTGGGCAGAGGCTGCCCGCAGCCCCCCGCAGCCCCCGCAGCCCCCCGCAGCCTTGCGGGCAGCAGAGGGGCAAGGGCGCGGAGCTCCTCGCCGGCTGCCCCGTGGGATGCGCGGGCGAGTCCCAGCTCGCTGGGGAAATTCGGGCCCTCTCTCCGGGGCAGGGCGCACACTCGCACGCATGAGGCTTTTCTCTCTGCACCAAACGTGCGTGACAGGTTTCCCTCTCTCCCCCTCCCAGGAACCCCAACAGAAGACACCTGGCCTGGAATAACATCCAACGAGGAGTTTAAGGCTTACAATTTCACGCAGTACCGAGCCCAGCCGTTAATAAATCACGCCCCAAGGTACCTCCTTGAGCAGGGACACGTACGGCACAGTGGGCTTGCGCTGGCCGTAATCGGGAGCCTGGGGAGACCGGTTTCATTTCCTCCTTGTGGTGCTGGCAGCTTCTGAATGCAGCCGTGCACTGGAGGCCCCAGCTGCCACTTGTCCCCTGCATTGGTGGTGGCAATGTCTCCTGGGTGCAATAATGCTCCGTTTTTTATTTCCTCCTTCTCTCAGGCTGGACTCAGAAGGCATTGACTTGCTGATGAACCTCCTTCTGGTGAGTGGTAGAGCAGTTCAGGTGGATGGCAAAGGGATTTGCAGTGAAGGTCCTCTGCCTGCCCTCACGCTGATTTTGGAGCCAGGCAGGAGAGGAGCTGTGACTGCAGAATAAGCCATGGCCCTGCAGCTGTGGCGTTGTAGATGCTATCCCAAACCACCACCCATTAAGGACAGTGAGCCATCCTTCACCCTGTGTCTCCTCACACAAGTGAGAGGACTCAAACCTGATGATCCGTAAGGTACGATGTGGCCGGTGCGCTCCTTTGGTCACAGTGTGTGCTGACTGTCCCTTGCGCACATGCAAATGGCACTGGTGACTGCCTGCACAGCCCCACGGTGTGCACAGTGTTTGGACACACTGTCACCCATGCAGCATACGAAAACACTGGGCACTTACATGTGTGTAGGCGCACAAATGTGCGCACACCCTGCATGGGGCCTCTGTGCCCACTGAATGCCATCTCGCACATGCAGACTGTATGTAATTGCCTTTCTCTGGGGCTTTGTGCAGTACGAAGCCAAGGGCCGGATTTCGGCGGAGGCAGCCCTCCGGCACGCTTACTTCAAGAGCCTGGGAGAGCGGGTGCATCTCCTGCCCGACAGTAAGTGCACGCTCTCCTTGCCTGGGGGATGTGGAGCACAGAGCTGCTGTGCAGCCCAAGGGTGGTGGTTTGCAGCCGGGTCTCTTTGGATGCCTCTTGTCTTTGCTCACTCAGAGGTGCTCCTGCAGCAGGGTGGGGTGGGAGCTTGGTGGCTGTGACAGCAAGAAACAATTTGGGTAGGACAATGTCGAGTAGGAGTAGGAATGTGAAAGCAAAGCTCTGATGAGGTGCTGTGCTGCACTTGGGCGCTGCCGTCCCTCCTGGCTCTGGGTTTGCAGACCGCTGCCGGCTCAGCCAGCTGGACTGATGCTTCTCTCTCTGCCCCCTCTGCCTAGACGTCTCCATCTTCTCCCTGAAGGAGATCCAGCTTCAAAAGGACCCTGGCTACCGAGGCTCAGCCTTTCAGCACTCAGGTGGGACTGGGGAAAATCATGCTGACCTCTCCTAGATGGTGCCTTGGACCGTGCTGGCACTGGGGTTACTCTCAGTGGGTCCCACATAGAAAAAGCCAAACTTGCTCCCTGCTCCCTGCTTTAGTCCACAAATTACCCCTGGGCATCCTTGCTTGTCACCTGCCCTGGTACCAAAGTCACATCTTGGTGCCCTGAGGTGCAGCTCCCTCCTCTCCGAACGCCGTGGGCTTGTAACCTCCTAACCCAGAGCACCGCGGGGCACAGCTTCTCTGCAAAGTGCCGCTCGCCGTCTGACCTCTCTGACCCATCTCTCTCTCTCTTCCTCAGCCCGAGGGAAGAACAGGAGGCAGAGTATATTTTAAACTTGGATCTCGTGTTCCCCTTGTCACCATGGAGATCAAAGCACTGAGAAAGGAGATGGCAACACGCTCCCACCTGACCCACCGCAGAATTACTGACTCGAGCAGGACGATGCTGAAACGCCCTCGGCCGCAGACTCTCCCCTGCCTGTCCCCACAACCACAGCCCCTAGCAGCTGCTGTTGATGGACCTGTGGCCTTTTTCCCCTCTTATTTTCATGTTGCCCCCATCAGACGTGAGCTGCCACCCTCTGTGCCACTGCCCTAGCGAGGAGCTGCCCTGGGCATTGCCCGGAGCGCGGGATTATGTGCTGCCCCAGGGAGCCGCTCGCTGCCCTGGGGGGTGAGCCGGGCACGGGGAGGTTTTGTGAGCAGAGGGTGGTATCTCCAAAGCTGGGCGGTGGGTCGTAGCGTTTGGCCCCGGCAGGCATTTCTGAAAACGTTACCTTTGCTCAGACAACCTGCTCTGCACCCCCTGGTTCTTGGGGAGACACTTTGCAGCCACGTTACGGGTCAGGGGCACGACCCAGCCTGGCACTGGAGAGACTGCACCTGAAGCACAAAAACCGGGGCAGCGTGCCCTTATTTGCCCTTGCCTCTGCCTGCATAACCCCTTTTTCTCTCCCCATCTTTGGTACCTGAATCCTGACAAGGACAGAGCAGCTGGGAGGAGGGGGCTTTCCATTGCTTCCCCCAGCATCTCCCCCTCCTTGCCACCATTGCGTTTCCAAATTCAGTCAGCTGGCTGCTCCCCAGAGATGTCCTGAGCTGAGGGCAAAGGCTGGCTTACCCCGCCTGAGATGCAGGTACCTGCTGGGAGAGCTGTGCAGAAGCGGGGCCAAACAAGCATTGGCTCCGTTCTGCCTCCCGTTGCTGTGCCGAGCCCTTTGGACAGCCTTTCCCAGGCACCGATGGAGTGGACCCTTTCTCCTTGCTGAGCCTGCTGCCCCCCCAGCCCGCGACCCTCTCTGCCACCGTCACAAGGGGCAGGACACAGTTCCCAGCTGGCATCTCGGGAGCGCATCTCCCCCCGTCCCGTCGCCGAGCCCCACGCGATGTGGCAGAGCCCGAGCCGCGCAGCCGCTCCGTACCAAAGTGTTGCACACACCCACCTCAGTGCATTTCTACCCAGAGGAAGGGGGAGAGGTGCCAAACCTCCCACAGCTCAGCTGTGGGGACCAGAAATAGACCCGGAGAGAAGCAAATCATCCCTCAAACCTCATCGTCTGGCCTCTACATTTGTAGCTGATGCCAGATCATACCAGCCCTGACTCAGATCGATGCCATGGGACTGAGGTGCATGCTTAGACCTGAGCGTGCTTTGCTGGACGAGGACTGCTCCTGGTGCGTTTTCCCCTCCGTACACTTCAGGACCGTGCCAAATCCATCCTGAGCAAAGAGGCCCTGCTGCACCTCCCCCACAGCCTGCAAACAGCCTGAAACGTCTTCAAGTGTGTGAGCGTTGCAAGAAGTCTCTCTACTGTATAATATTCGCATCCTTTTCTTGGCTGTCCCGGATGACTAGTCCTCTCGCCCACTGGTCCTCCAGCCCATGGATGTGGCCAGGAGACTCTGGACTTGGCAGGCGCTGGGACTGTCGCCTGGCGCTGGGACTGGCAGGACGTGCTGATGTCTTAACCCGTCGCGCTCCAGCCTGGGAGGCATTGCTCAGGGGACGGTAACGCTCCATGCCGCTGTTTCCCCATCGAGCCAGGAGTGAGGGCTCCGTTTTGTGCTTTGCTGTGCAGGATTCCTTCTGTCATCCTCAGAAAATGCAAAGCGTGAGGATACGTGAGGAGACCCTTGAGCTCCCCAAAGCTTCTGCGGCGACCCCTTCCTGTGCCGGTGCTTGATGCGCTGCACCCTCTGAGCTTCCCCCATCAGACCAAAGCTGTTAATTCGGGTTTGTCCTAGACAAGCATCCAGACGTCTGCATTGTTTGAGGTTTGCCCATCCCTGCTCGGTTCCCTTCTCAGTATGTCCAGCATACAGCAGGCTGAATAGTTCATTAATTGTTTCCATTTGATAGGGAAGAGCATGAATAGCCATCAGCCACCAGTGACGCATTTCGCCCTGATGCCAGGGTAGTGTTTTGCCTGGTTTCCTACACCCGGCTCCCGCTGCACGGCGCTTTTCAGTAGGGAGGTTCCCAAAGGGAGGTGTTGGCTGGAGTAAGGCTGAACTCTCGCACTGTCATCTTTTCTTTCACAAAGGCATTTTATACAGGAATTTCCTTGGCATGGCAGGGATCTGTGGTGCAGACTCACGCTTCCCAGGGCAGCCAGCTCCCGTCAGGAATTAGCAGCTCAGCAGGCAGCCCACGGACGCAGCGTCTCCCGTGCCCTTGCGGCAGCACCTTCAGGTCCTGGGGCGAAGAGCGCAGGCGTGCCCGGGGGGCAGAGCCCCCGCTGCGGTCCGTGAGCACAGATCAGACCGGGGGGAGCAGGAAACCCCTCCACCCGCTCTTGGGAAGCCCGTTCGGGACATGTTTGCCCTGTCTTTGTGCAGTTCTCTTGCTTGGCGTTACCATCCCCATGCACTGAGATTGCCTTGGGCATAAAGCTTGCTGGGGCACGGGGTGCCCAGCTGAGCCGTCCCGCTTCCACACTGGGAGAATGGAGGCAGCCCACACCGGGTCTGTGTGGTCTCAGCTCTCCCCTCAGAAGAGAAGT